CCCGCCGTCCCTCCTCCGGCGGTAGCAGCTTCAGATCTCCTGCTGCTGCTGCTGCCGCTGCTGCCGCTGCTGCTGGAAGTATTTCCCGATTTCCTCCTCGGAGCTTAGGGACTTTGAAAGGCAGGGCTGGTTGCGGACCCACCCCCAGCAGCCCTGCCCGCCCTGCCCAAGGCAGCCCCCAGCCCTGCCCTGCCTTTCCCGGGACAGTCCCCGTCCACGCTCTGCCTGCCCCCAGCCCTGCCCGGCCTGCCGAGGCAGCCCCCCATCCCTGCCCGCCCTGCCCTGCTGGGTGGAGCTGCCAGTCCCGCCCTCCGTGGCCTCGTCGCATCCCCCACCGGCCGCCCTGCAGCCTCCCAGGGCGAGCGCGACCCCGTTTGCACCCTGCAGGGGGGAGGGAGAAAGAGGGAGGGTGCAAGGAGCGCCTTGCTGTGTCTGTCACCGTGCTCCGCAATGTCACCCATGGCTGCTGTGGGGAGGCGGGAGGCCAGGTGCATCCCACGGGGCCCTGGGGTGAGGTTCACTCCCCTCACACATCACCGATATTGTGGGGTTTGCAGAAGACTGCGGGGGCCATGGGGTGACAGGCAAATGACATATGGGTCATCTAGGGCCCTCCTGGAAACTGCCCCCACATCTGGCTATGCCCAGGTCAGCACCTGAACCCACAGAGCCTCCTGACCCCACGGGACAGTCGCTGGGGTTGGGGAGGTCCTGCAGGAAGCCAGTGGCCTGGCACAGAAGGTCTTGCTGCGCCTCAGGCTGGCCCAAGTGTCCTTCCTGTGGGCAATTTCCCTTTCACCATGCCTGAATGACTCTGCCACCCTGCGCTAGCTCCATCAAGGAGCAGATGAACCCGTTGTCCCACCCTCCGGGCAGAACTCTGTGCCTTTAGTAACTTAAAATAGGACCAAAGCTAATAACTCACACACTGGTATTTGCAAGTACCCAACGACCTTCATTAGCCCTCTATGCCCAGATCATCAGGTGCAACAAGAACCGTGGAGAAGCAGAGCCATTATTCTAGCTCTTGCACCCTCTTACACCTTCTCCCTCTTGTTGGCTGTGCTTGTATTTTTTGTCACCACTAGCAAGACAGCAAGCCAGAAATTTCATTTGTGCTACTCTTTCTTTTTTTCCTTTTTTTCTTTTTTTTTAAGATTTTTGCATCACCATGTCCTTCAGCAGAGATGGAAAACTAGGTTTCTTGTTCAAGATGATGTGTAAGACATGGACAATGTCACCAAACTACTTTGTAAAGTAGTTCATAATGAGCTGACCAACCAATAAGCCAGCTACTTATTAGTGTTGCAGCTGGTTTTGATATTGTTTAGTTTTGGTCTTACTTTAAGATCTTACTGCCTACACATGGGATGAAAGGCATTTCCAAATAAGAATTTTGGAATTCTAAAAAAAAAAATTAGAAAAAAACATGGAGTTGTGTCCAGTAGCTAACTGATTTTCTGTCCCACCTCCTTTGATTTAAAACTCTTCAGAGGAAGGTTGCGTCTGGCCATGTGTGCTACTTTGATGGGACTCAATTCTCCCAGTAGGGCTGTTGATATAAAACGAGCATGCACAGCGCTGTGCTTGGATCAGGACCTAAGCAGGGCAGTGGATGTATATCCGTGGTGTTTGGTTTGGCAGTGGCTGCAGGACGCAAGGCGCTGCACAAGCCAGTGTGGCAAACAGACAATGTGGGCAGAAAAAATTGGCATGGTTGCAGCCAACAAATCCCTGCTGTTGCTTTTCACCCTGCACACTGAAATCTAATCAGTGCAACAGTAAGCAGTGGAACTCAGATTTTGATTAGCTGTCAGCCACGAAGTTCTCCCAAAAGCTCTCTGTTTCCCTCAGTTGTGTTGCTGACCTACTTCCCAGCTCTTTCAGTCAATATGGTACACAGCTCCTCTGGAGCACCAAGACTCTACTAATGGGGATCCACTGGTGAGCTGCTCTCTAGAGAGCCAGGCATGTCCCCACTTCCTCCCAACCCACCTCTCTCTGCAGCTTGCATGAGAGACATGTTCCTGTCTCCCAGTGCCTCCTGCTGAGACCCTCAGAAAGGTCCCTTCATCTGAGGGATTTTTGTGACATTTGAGGGGGGATTGAGGAAAACAAATTTGACAGTGTTTGTGGTGATGCTCATTAGTCCACACAAATGAACCCTTTGTATCACCCAACCTTAATGGCACTGGAACAGAAAAGGTGAAGCAGAGATACAGCATTATCCCACCTGCACCTGAGAGCAGCTTTCATCTACTTGAAGAGTGACTGGTTAGGATGGATATAAGGCTGGGAGAAGATGTCCCCCACTCCCCCGGCCCTTTCACACCCCTTTCTAGGCCCATTCAGACTTTCATCTTTCAAAGGCTCCAAGAGAAATGTGGAGTTGGGCTCTGAAAGCAAGAGTCGAAGTCAGGGAGTAGGGGAGACAGTGAGCCCAAATAATGGGAGGAGATACTGTGTTACAGGACTGCTCCACACTGCAGTGGCTATAGCTCATGCTGCTTTTTCTCAGTCAAGGTAGCTGAAGTGGTAGCTGTAACAGCACAGAGCTCTGCATGGGCTATGAAATCTGCTGGACAAGCTGAGCAAATGCTCCTGTGTTCTTCCTGGTGCTCCAGGCAAACAGGCAACAAGACTGCTCATGTGCCAGCACAGCAAGTTTGCCATAGTGGGGGAACATCCATGCTTCGTCACGACTGCAGCCTGGGCTGTGCTGGGAAAGGCAAGTGTTTGCTCCAGCTACATTTCTTTCTCTGTTTCTCTTTGCAGTCATGCAAGTGTACACCTACCATTGCAAATGCACTTACAACCACTCATCAGTAGTCTCAAAATCATGGAGATTCTCATGCCAATACTAATGAATGGTTCATTCATGCATTCATGCACACGCACAGCCCTCTCAGACAGCAGCCTGCATCCCTCTGCAGTTGCTGAAGCAGGTTTCCAGGTATTGTCTACATAGGCAGAGCAGATAGACAATTCCTCCCTGCAAAGAATGGTGTTAGTGGGCTGTGGAGACACGAGCACAGGACAGAACGGTGCAGGCTAATTCTCTGCTCAATGCTCTGTGAAGAAAGATATCTGATCTCCTGCATATTTTAGAGGAGGGGGACACAAACCCTCAGGCATTTCTTGCTTGAAAAATTCCTTCCTTATATTCTCTGTAAAAAAGACAAGTGCTCAGGGGAAGTTCAGACTTCAGCTCAGCTCACAGCATGCTCACCTCTAAGCAGCTGTCCTACCACCCTTTCTTGGCCCTGTCTGGAACACCTCCTCAGTGGGATGCTTTGATCTCTGCTCCAGCTTTTGTAGGTTCAGATAATGCTGGAGGATAACCAAGGAGTCCTCATTGGTTAGTTATCTCTGGTCATAGTTTTCCTTGAGTCCCTCCGGAGATGCCAGAGAGATCCTGCATGAGCAGATGGGATATCACCTCTGGCTTGCCATCCATCTGCCTTTCCTCTTCGCTGCAGCAGATGTGAGCGTGTGCCCACTGAACCTTCTCTGGCTCTCCTCTGCATGTTCTTGGCAGAGACCTGGAGATCCCTGAGTGGTGTTTCTAAAAAAGATGCTCAGAAACATCATTTCCAGCAATTTAAGCATTTGCTTTCACTGTCACCTTCAAAGCTGCCTTTGCTGTTAGGAGGATAACTCAGGCAATTAACAATGTGGTGGATGGAGTAGGACACAGCAGTGAATAGGAAGGGCAATTCTGTGTGCTGGACGTCATACACTTCTTTTTGAGCTCTCCAGGCAGTGCCTCCCTAGATGTTTTCAGGTAGCTTGTACAGTCTGAATCCTGATGATCCCAGGGAGTTCTGAGCACAACAGTTGTCTATTGGCCAGCCAGAGGTCTTGGATGCAGGAGGTGTCTGCTACCCCTGGAAAACTGAGAGTAAAGACAATACCCCAGCAAGAAGGCAGTGCTCAATGGGATGTTTTGGCATGCCTGTGAAAA